AAGGAGACATCACGATTGTTTAGTAGACAATTGATCAAAGGATCAGTTTCACTTAACTCCTCTACATGTTCTAGTGTAGTCCTAAGAATGACAAGGCTCGCTGACGATGCCAACTTCGATGCCGGCTAAATGTCTGGGAATGTACCAATTTCACGGCCCAGCTCTGGAAATGATAATGCATACAATGGACTCCAGACTCGGTGAGTTCCTCTAAGTCTTCGTACCGATATGACCATTTTGCGAAAACAAGGTCAAACTACTTACGCTAAGTTGTTGCAGAGTAGAAAATATCCCTTTGCCATATATTTAACCTCTATTCGCTTCCAATCCCCATTTTTATAGATCACTAAAATTTCTCTATACATATTCTGCCAAAATGTTTCATCTCTCTTAACATTACAATGCCCTAACAACTCGGTTGATTCATACAGTGTACGCGAGTTCTCCCTTCCTTGCCCACATCCGTGCTCATGCTTAGCCGTCAATCCCACCATTTTTCTGTACCTCCGTCTATCCGTCTACTGCTCCGATCATCTATGCATTTGCATCTACCATTACCGTCAAATATGCAGTATGCTGTGGATCAGAATATACAAACATGGCATGTTTAAGAGTTTACGCATGCAGGAACGCGTACTTTGGTACGTGTATGAGTGTTTGTCTAATTTTCGGCCTGGTTGCAAGTCATTAACATCAGTCCATCGAAATCTATATTGTAGGTAAAAATATGTTTAATAGAAGGGTATTATTCAGTTATTTAGCCGTCGTAATGGTTTGAAACTAATTATTTGACGCACTTTATCCGATGTCTTACAGCAAAAAAATATGGGCAGCCTTTTTCAGTGATACACTTAACAGTAGACTTTCATCAGAGTGAATACAGTCTAGTCAACTTTGGCGTGTGGTCCTTTTATTGCTATTGCCATTAGTAACAGTAGTAGTCGTATTGTTATCAGAACCAGGTTTGAGGGCGGACAATTGGTTGGCTGGTGACTGTGCATGCGGAGAATTGTGCTGTCGGTGGACTCGTTTGGCAATTGATGCTAGTCTGGCCCATGCTAATAGGGCCAACCCAACTGGTTGGTCGAGTTGTCCTTTCGAGGGCCGAGTTTTCTCCAACAACCACCGACGCCACAACTGTCCTCATTTCGGGCCACTTTGAGGCGTCATGGCGTCGGGACAGAGGGCGGCTCTTTGAGCTGGCGCGTCCACCGGGTTCTGCTTGTCCGGTATCTCAACTCTCGTCCAACCGCTTCGTTCCACCTTTCAGCCTCGGCCCTGAGGCAGGCAGGCAAGAGGCCGGGGCCGTTGACACAAGGCCGGACCGGTGTGATGCTGAGGCCTTCGGGTAGACGTGCAATTGGAGAGTGCGCGAGAGACCAACGGGGCACGAGTGTGGAGCACGAA